ATTTGAAGCTGAGATTTTTTATTTTTATTTTTTATAAAAATCGTTAGATTACTCTAAAGCAAAATGATGGAAAATCTGTGTCAGTTACAGACAATCTGTTCAGTGAGCAGCTGTCAGTCAGCACCTGTCATCATCCAGACGCACGACGGAGCGTGTCTGAACCAATCACTTTAGTTGGCATTGATCAGCTGACAGATTTAAATACATCTTAACATTCATGAGGTACTTTGCATTGACTGTTTATGGTTGAATGTGRGYRTGYWGAGGGTAGAACCTGAGGCGGGACCTCGTGCGCAAACTCTGACGTGCGGCTGTGATTTATAAATGAAAGATGCGCAGAAACGTGCGTACGTACTGTTTTATAAATCTGAATTTTTTTGGCGTACGCCATTTCCGCCTTTTGGCCGTGTGTTCACTTTTAGTGTGGTTTCCACGCAATCCTTTATAAATGAGACCCCAGATCTGTTCAGCTTTTTCAACACATTTTTGCAAAAACTTTTTCCTATTTATTTTTAACATCTTCTTTTCCTATTTTCAGCAAATGTCTGCTCTTCAATCTGAACTCTAACAGTTTTATTAAACATTTTCAGCTTCTTCAGCAGCTTTCAGCAAACCTTTTAAAAATAAGCATTTACACTGCCTTTTCTCAGGAAATGCTAATTCTTTAATTAACGTTTTTTATTTGTACCCAGTCCACACAGGTAACATGTATTTATTCAACAGGGATCCTTGTGATAGCCATCGTCCTGGGTGTAGGTATACTCATCCTCCTCGGCGTCCTGGGATATTGCTTCATGAAGAGAAGGAAGTCTACTCACTATCAGTACCATGCAGGACAAATGAAATAATCTTGTCTACAGCAACACCAAGAAAAAACCCTAAACTTCACCACCATCCTGATGGATTTCTCTGGAGCTTCGTCACACATTGACAGCTCAGATTGACCAGAAAAATATGTGTAGATGTAACTTTTATTTAGTCCTTATGTGGATTTTTATTTTTCACGATGATGTTCACAGGAAGGGCAGAAAGTCTTCACGGGTGAAATGTGATGTTTTGTTTTAACACCGTAGCCAGCTGACAATAAATGAAACAGATTCAGTTCGGTGTCGAGGCAGTGAATTGCAGGAAATCTTCCCAAAGAAATTCAGGTATATTTTATGTATTTTTTTTTCTTAACTGTATAGTTGTTTTTTTTTTTTTTGATTCTTGGTAAAGTGTATTATGATGAGCATACTTTTATTGTACAAGCTACGTTTATAATGGCTTTTTCCTTCAGACTCAAACTGTAGTTTGTTTTATTTTTTATATCAACATTCTGGGAAATGTTGACGTATATACAGTTAAAGTTAAGCTGATTCTTTCTAACTTAGATTTGTTTTGATCTGTATTTAGTCTTGTTACATTCCACTAGATTTCAGATGCATAAAATGTTTTAATTTAGGGAAGAAATATTTTACATGGAGGTAATTTTATCAGTAAATATACATTTTTTATTTTATTCTTTTTAGAACAAGTTCCTTATCAGTGCTGTTAAATACTCATTATGACCTTCTCAAGTATTTGTACATACTTTATGACCTGATTTAGCTTTATATGTATTTGCTGTTCATCTTTAATAAATAATTTGGTACTTAGAATTGTTTCCAAGTTTTTTTTCCTTTTATGGATAAGCTTATTGTATTTGCAAAATTTCAGTTTGTATGGCTTTAGTTTGCCTTTACATCTTTATTTTGTGCTTTTAAACACAGGTTTTGAAAGCTTTTATAGTATTCATGCAGTGGTGGGCAGCACTAATTTCAAAATGAGTTCCACTAGCCCTAAAGCACTAACTCAAATATTTGGGTCTCCTAATTCTAAAGCACTAACGCACTGAAAATTTAGCAAAAGCTAAAATTCTAAATCACTAAAATAACTCAGTGAACCAATGACCATCAACAGACATGAGTCACATGTTGCCATGTTGCTCTCCTAAGACTTATCATTGACACGCCACAGCCTTACGCTCACCGGCCACTTTATTAGGTACACCACGCTAGTAACGGGTTGGACCCCCTTTTGCCTTCAGAACTGCCTCAATTCTTCATGGCATAGATTCAACAAGGTGCTGGGAGCATTCCTCAGAGATTTTGGTCCATATTGACATGATGGCATCACACAGTTGCCGCAGATTTGTCGGCTGCACATCCATGATGCGAATCTCCCGTTCCACCACATCCCAAAGAATTGGATTGAGATCTGGTGACTGTGGAGGCCATTTGAGTACAGTGAACTCATTGTCATGTTCAAGAAACCAGTCTGAGATGATTCCAGCTTTATGACATGGTGCATTATCCTGCTGAAAGTAGCCATCAGATGTTGGGTACATTGTGGTCATAAAGGGATGGACATGGTCAGCAACAATACTCAGGTAGGCTGTGGCGTTGCAACGATGCTCAATTGGTACCAAGGGGCCCAAAGAGTGCCAAGAAAAGATTCCCCACACCATGACACCACCACCACCAGCCTGAACCGTTGATACAAGGCAGGATGGATCCATGCTTTCATGTTGTTGACGCCAAATTCTGACCCTACCATCCGAATGTCTCAGCAGAAATCGAGACTCATCAGACCAGGCAACGTTTTTCCAATCTTCTCTTGTCCAATTTTGATGAGCTTGTGCAAATTGTAGCCTCAGTTTCCTGTTCTTAGCTGAAAGGAGTGGCACCCGGTGTGGTCTTCTGCTGCTGAAGCCCATCTGCCTCAAAGTTCGACGTACTGTGCGTTCAGAGATGCTCTTCTGCCTACCTTGGTTGTAACGGGTGGTTATTTGAGTCACTGTTGCCTTTCTATCAGCTCGAACCAGTCTGCCCATTCTCCTCTGACCTCTGGCATCAACAAGGCATTTCCGCCCACAGGACTGCCGCTCACTGGATGTTTTTTCTTTTTCGGACCATTCTCTGTAAACCCTAGAGATGGTTGTGCGTGAAAATCCCAGTAGATCAGCAGTTTCTGAAATACTCAGACCAGCCCTTCTGGCACCAACAACCATGCCACGTTCAAAGGCACTCAAATCACCTTTCTTCCCCRTAYTGATGCTCGGTTTGAACTGCAGGAGATTGTCTTGACCATGTCTACATGCCTAAATGCACTGAGTTGCCGCCATGTGATTGGCTGATTAGAAATTAAGTGTTAACGAGCAGTTGGACAGGTGTACCTAATAAAGTGGCCGGTGAGTGTATATTGTCACCTGGTGGATAAGTGACATATACAGTATGAACAAAATGTGTGACAGCTTTCACCATCAGTTGTTAACATTAACCTTGATCAATAACATTTTTAGACCTCAATTAGTGCTTCTAAATTTAGTCTATAAATTTAGCAAGTGCTAATCCACTGATAAATTTTAAAATTAGCAAAAGCACTAATCAGGAAATTAGTTCCCCTGTTAGTGCTTTAGGGGAACTGTGCCCACCACTGTACTCACGATTGTGTTAAGGGAGTCCACCAACAAGCTGCTGATATTACATTTGACAGAAAGTACTTCAGGCAAGGATAACAGATTTCTCAAAATGGTTTGCATCTTCATTCAAAGTCCAAACAAAACAAAACAAACCTTATTTTCAAAATCATGGACCCACTTGTGTTTTTCATTGGACATGTGGTGAAGTAACAAGCTGCAGTTTTTAACTTCAAAGTATTCTTGACAAATTAACAACATCCTCAAGTAATTATTACAGCTTGTGTGTGCTGTATCTATTTTTGTTCTTGTCAAAGAAAATGGCAGAAAACTGGCCAGCAGGTGGTGATATTGATCCGCCAACAAGTGAGGATGTTTCACTAATATGAAATCACCCACTTGAATACTCTCATCAGGAATAAACAATTTATTTATTTATTTATTTATTTATTTATTTATTTATTTATTTATTTATTTCACCATAAGACCCATCAATAGATTCACTGAAGCCATCTTTTGTGAGTCACGGGGCCTCGAAAATGCAACTTTCAGGGTTACAATTTTATTGTCTGTCACAAAACTGTCGTTATTTTTTATGTATATTGCACGAGTAACAAACGAGAACACTTGCACAACACTCTGTTTGCTAAACAACAGTTTAATACTTGAAGAAATGGTGAAACTACGCAGCCCAGATGTTACCATGTGGGAACACCTCTGACACCGAGCAGTTGGCCTGTCAAAAACAGGCATTTCTGTGTTGCGTTCACTTACGTTCTGTAAATTAGAWATCTTTTCGCAACCGTTTTTTTCTTATCTTATAAACTACCCAAAATAAGACGAAAGGAATCGTGGAAAAATGAAAAAAAAAATGATAGGGAGTAATGAAAGTATGATGTTATTTTCTGGAGTCTGAAATTCTCAACCCCCTACTAAATAATTTTGTCGCGTACCTGTGATAAAGTYGTAGTTTCCGTATTTCCGAGGAGACGTAAACGCAGCAGTACTTCTTCGAGTTTCTTCAAAGATGTAGCCGTCGGCGTGTTTGGTTTTCGGACTCAGTGCGAGCTGATGACCTGCGCTGTGGGATGTGTGTCTGTCTGGGTCCATCTGAGCGCCATGTAACACAAGAAGAGCAAAAACTGACGGAGTAGCCTGAAAACTTTTTTTTTTTTTACCCAGAAACCGGAAAGGGTAAAGTAGTAGGCTGTAGTCGCTGGAAGGGGATAAATTGGCACATTCGGTACGTATATATACACTTCTTTAGCATCTTCACAAAATCTAAGCTATCTAAACTTCATACGATGATGTATTTTGTCGTGTTTTTGCATTGTTTTTGAAGACGGGAGAAATGCTAGAGTTTTTTTTTTTTTTTTTTTTGTGACATTTTCTAGCTTTAAATACGACCAGGGTGATAAAGTTTATAAATACTCACTTGTTTAACGAAAAAGTTATGAGATTTTCCATATAGGTTAGAATATTATGACTATTTCCTAAGTGTATTTTCATTTGATTTAGTTTTACATCTTCAGGGAGGCGGTGGGCAGAAGTATCAGTCAGATAAGTTTTGTTTGTCTTTCAGGAGAAAAAAAAAACTCTCACTTGAATGAACTTTGGTCAGATTTTCGTTTAATTATTTGCCTGCACACCCCCCACCACGGTGCCCACACTTGAACCCCCCAGCAAACCTAATTGTTGTAATAATGAGCACCCCAATGAGAGGATTTAAATACAGCCTCTTTATAGGTCAGTAACTCTTCACCAGCAGCTGAAGAAGAATGGGATAAATAAAAATCAATCAATTCCTGCTGAAAAGTTCCATCTTGTGCTTCTTTGACCCCATTTGACCTTTCACACAATAATGTCTCAACTTCATTTCTCAGTGCAAGGACCAGCGCTTTTGAATAGGTGGCCCAGTCAGGAAGCTGCACAAGTGTATTTTGGATCTCACAGTTGGCTTTCAGGTCCTTCTTGCACAGATGAAATCACTGGAGCTGCACAATGTGAGGGCGGTTTCATCTGTGGATGCCTTAGAATTGTACAACTTCTGCATCAGAACTTTACAAGTCTTTGTTAAGTTTTTTTTTAGGTTTTGCAAGGTTGCACTACCAGACTCAAAAGGATGACTTTAAACACAACCTAATAATAGTGTATTTATTTTTGAGTGCCATATGTTTTAAGGTGATCCAACGATGTTGCCATAATGTCAGAACTTTGTAAATCCATTTATGAACTGTTTAGCTACACATGTAATGTATCTTTAAATGGGAACGCTCAAYTTCTATTTAAAGATGTCTAATTTTACCCAGCAGTCCCGTCCTCCCCACTTCAAAGTCCGCGGGGCACGATGGCGGACCTTTTACCTCCCGGATTTATCATTTTAAGGAGTTTTAAGTCTTTACTTGTTATTTATCAGCACAGATGGCACTTRCCAGCCTCATTCATCAGGTATGCGTTTTTGTGTTTGCTTGTCATTTTAATGGGAGGAATGAACAGTGCTACTTTTCCCGTTCGCAGCAGTGGGAAACAATTATTCCCCAATTAAAGGCTATTTTGGCTGCTGAAATATACGTGCACCATATGGACTGAATGCCCTGTGGGTGTTCGTTTGTATAGATCACTTCTTGCTGCAGTTTTGCAGCACGCTTAGAAACGCAGTGCATGAAAATAAGAGGCAAATTATATGTTTTGTGTTTGTGTGAAGGTTCAAGTTGTGCCTTTTGTCAAGGCTGTGGATTTGCTTGAGGCGAAGAGTTGCTTTCAGCGTGTATTGTTTGCTCCAGTGAATGAAAGGCTGTTGGTCTCTTAAAGCCTGYGTGTCAGAGGACAAACTGCAGGAGTAATGTGGGAAAAAAGGGCACTCACTGAAAGGCTCTTTAGGGAGTGTTTTCAGCAAGGGGGACACAGGGTAATAAAGGGGTCATGCAAGATAAACATCCCACCAGGTCTGATGTAATGATGAATCATCTCAGTTTGCCTCTTGGATATCTAAAAAGTCCCTGATCCAGCTTAGATGAACTATTTTCATTTATAYAAGCGTCTGTCTGGAGTGATGGCGTCTCAAAGTAATCCAAACCACCGGGACCGTCTAAAGACTTCCCAAAGGACACATGTCATACTTCCAGTGTCCCATGGGTCTTGATGAGGCCAGCATTTTTAGACAAAACAAATTCTGTTTGATATTCAGTGTGCATGCAATGCACACTATTGTGATTCGTTTCCCGTCCACGTCATCTCAACTTTGCCATGCTTCTCCTCCTGCATACTTTGTCCTAGAGCTGCCATTGTAATTTATATCTGTAAAGCCCCTGTGCCAAATGATGGCTATGCCTTTTGGTGCCTGTAAAACTTGTAGTTTTTGAAATATTAATGTTTAATAAATTATAATGGCAGTCAATCGAGCCTTGTATTGGTCCAATACTGCCCCCTGCTGCCTCTACGCAATGTGGTACTGCACCATAGTTTTATAATATTTAAACTCAGTAGTTCAGTGA